CTTCCCTTCCAGATTGTTTCTGTGATTGTTTTAAAACCAAAAGTTAATGTAATTCAATAAAAATAATCAGTTAAAAATTATTTAAACTAGGGTTGATTTTGACTGACTTTCTTTTTTGGGGTTAGGGTTTTTTTTGTCTGTTTTTTTTTTTTTTTCCCACCAAAAATTGTGATTGCAATAATGAGAATCATAAAATTTGCTGGTCTCCAGATTTTCTTGTCTTCTTGTCCTCGAATGCTCTCTTGTCCACATTCTGATGTCGCAGTTCTTTACTGTTGAGTTGAGAAGTGCTTACTACTAGTTTGCTAGTAGCTAGTAGAGAAGCTAATACTATTAGTTAGCTGCAACTCTTCTTTCCCTTATGTGTGGTTAAAAAAGAACAAAAATGCTTAAAGCCACTTAAAGGCCTGGAGTGAGAAAGTTTGTGTCTTACTCCTTAAATGTAGTTTGACTAAAACTTGAGTGGCTCTGTGAAACATTTTTAAATTGACCTTTTTCTTTTCTGGGTAGGCCAGCCTCACCTGGGAAACTTCTTCACTCCATGTTTTTTTTTTTTTTTTTGTAGAAAGTTGCGTTTCTCTACGGTCCAAAAGCCTTCCAAACAACCTTGTAGATCTTTTCTGAGTGATTGATTCCTTATTTAGGTGTCGACGTCTTTATGATTTAATTTTTTCTTTTTCTTTTTAAGGTCTTTAACCTAAGTGTCACTCGTTGATAACTCGATTATTAAGGTCTGGCACCAATCAGTCTGGGGTGTTACATGTGAAATCATACCATGGATTTTCTCTTAATGAAAGAAGTCATTATTTGAAAACAGCTTTTTTGTATTTGTTTATTCAGAGAGAAAGAAATTTTTTTTTCAAACACATTTTTGCATTTGAACAGTTTTTTCTTTCTTTCTTTGAAAACATTTTTTTTTATTGAAAACAAAAAAATTGTTTTGGGGATTTAATAATTAAGAAACACATGTCCTACCCAACATTACTTAAATTTAAAATGTTGTTTCAAACAAAAACCTTTCACTTCCATCAAAGAAAACATTTTCCATCAAACTTTATTTTTACATTCAAATACTTTTAATCTTTAATTGAACCCATTTTTTTATTAGAATGTTTTTTTATTTTTTTATGTGAAAGATTTTTTTTTGAAGCAACTATTTCTTTAATAGAATAATAAACACATCTACCTGGATAGATTTTTATAATTTTAAACATTGAAGTGTTTTAAAAGCTAAATTCCTCAAATCTGTGAAAGAAGAAATCTATTTTTCTGAACCCTTTATGAGCCAAAGATGTTGGCTGATATCTTCTGTTGTGACCCCTGCAGTGAAAGAACCATGGACCTGGTGATGGAAATGTGCAACACAAGGTCCATCCACTGGTGTGGAATCTCAGGACGACAGCTTGGCAAACTCAGTCCTGCTGCCTCACTGTCGCTGCCGCTCACCGTCTTCTCCTCTGAGCAGGGTCTGCAGGTACGGTCCGAACCTTCGGAGGGTAATTTCTTCCAGTCTCATTCGTTTTCTCATTACTTCTCTTCTTTGTTTCAGAGTATTTCTGGACTGAGACTCACTGACACTTTTCTAAAGCGGACATATGAATATGACGACATTGCACAGGTGTGTGTGGTCTGCCCGTTTATGAGCAATGAATGCTAGAACTTTTATTCGCCTTTATTTGCATTTTAGATATGAATGGACCAACTGTGGAATTCTGCACTAATACTTCACTTTTTTGTTGTTGTTTTTTTTGCAACTGAAGAGGACAATTCTGTATTTTAAAATGAATTGTGAATAATATAAATTGTTTCCTTTGAAAATAAAATGTAAATCTGTGTAAATTAATACATTCTGTGCAAACTTTAGATTCTCTAATTAATACTAACATGCACAACATAATGATACTCTTAGAGAATTTGGCTTTGTTTTAACCGTTAAAACACATTTTGTTCTTATTGTAAACATATTTATCAGCAAAAAGGTTGCGTAAAAATACATTAAAATTCTCCACACATTAACAGTAGTAGTTTTATTCCTCAGCCAATTAATAAAGATACTATCATGAATCAAAAACAATAATATGTGTCATACTTTACCCTGCAGAGAAGTTAATGTTTCCTTTTAACCAAAATAAGAACAAAGAACCTTAGCTTTGATTCATGACATAAAACAAGCTTTGCACATTTATAGTCACCACAAAACATTTTACAAAAGGTGCACCCAAGTCTTTCTTTTTAAAGCAGTTGATCAGGTTGCCTGGAATCTTTAAATTTGTAAATCCCTGATTTCCTGTTTCTCTGAGGTATAAATATGGCCTCCTTTAAAGTCAAATTTATTTTGGCTGTTCTTAAAAATAGGGGAAACAAATTAGAGCATAGAGCTAAAGTACAGTAAGCTGTTTACTGACTCAAAGCTGGACATATCTACAGCTTCATAAAGACTGCTCACTACATGCCAAATAGAAAAGCTCTTTTAATGATTCCTCACCAAACACTTCCAGGACTTTAAATACAACCATGATTAGAATAGGATTTTTTTTTTTTTACAAAAACACTTCATGTTTATCAGAAACAACAGATAATTGAGTGGGAAACTATGATGGAGGATCTGTGATGCTGTCGGCTTGGTTCTCTTGCAAAGTGAGGCTATGACATCATGGACTTTTTATCTAGAAACAATTTGATTGCCTCTAGCAGGGCAGTGATCTAAAACGACAAAGAAATGCTTCCACAGATAAAAACTAAACCATCTATGACCAAAGAAAAGCCGAACACAGGAGTCGAGAACTATCAGATATCTAGTCTTTAAAATGTTAAAGCCTGCGAAAAGGTAGTCATACAAATAATTATTAAAACTATTTTTCATTTGTTTCTTTATTTTTTCTTTTTTTTTTTTTTTTACAACAGAATGGAAGTAATTATAATGGGATTTAATTTATTTTTTTTTTTTTTGATGAGTTGATGTTGGTGTAATCATATTTTATTTCTAAAGGACCAATTATGTTTCCCTTATATTAAATTATAGATAAATCTCCTAAATGTACTAGAGAATTAACCTGTTCAAAGACAGAAGAGTCTTCAAGGTCAGGATCATAGGGATTACAGTTAAGTGTCATGATAATCATGGTGTTAAATCAAAAGAATTATATAATTTAAGGATGTAAAAAGTTATCTACGTCAAACTCTGAAATAAAGATCTAAATTTGCTTCGAGGCGATGTCTCTTTCTGTACAATTTCCAGGCTAATTTTTTCTTTCTTTTTTTTTTGTTTTTTTTTTGTTTTACATCTAAAATGCTGGTAAAATAACTAAATTAAGTAACAGATTTAACCTACTTGAAGACAGTTTATGTGCAAAGATTAGTAGGAAGGGATCATATCTAGTTGTTCTTGTGGGGTTTTTACATGATTGTGAGCACCAGGTCAGACATTTAAATTCCCCTGTACAGAAACATCAGCTTGGTTTCTCTTCACATGGTCATTCCTGCTGAAGGTAAAAGTCTTCAGAGTGAATAATAAAGTCTAAAAATACATTATTATTCACTGAAATAAATATTAAAGTCTTTACCAACACACTCTGCTTTATATATAGACTCACATCAGCAATATAACCTGAGATACATCTTAAATGTTCACAAAAATGACTGAAGAAAATATATGTGGACAATCTGAGAAAGGAACTGTTGGATGTTTAAGCATTATCCAGAGTTGGGTTTACTGTGAATAAAATGCAACTGTACCAGAGCTAAGCAACATCAACTTTGATAAAAAAAAAAGAAAACAAAAAAAAAATGCATCCTGTCATGAATGGAGCTATTTCCTTACAGACGGCAGTAACAAAAGATATGTTTCTGAGCTTAGTAAAAACAGGAGCAATGCTACTGTATCCATCTTCCACTTAAATGTTTTATCGAGAAATCATCTATTGTGGCCTTTTCTGCAGAAATTTCCTTGCTTTATTTATTTGATGTGAGTCATGATGCAAATTAGTTTTGAAAAATCTATCAGACTTTAGCTTTAAACTCTTCCTTATTTCTGTGCATAGAGTCATCGGTGTTCAGCTTAGTGTGGTGGCTAAAAGATGAAAAGCAGCAGCAAACCAGCCTGCTATGAAGCAGAAAAATATTCCAAAATAAAAACTTTAATAAAGAGAAAAAATAGACTGAAGCAGAAGGAAAAAGGCAGGAATAAATGCTGCAAATTCATTGTATAAAACCCCTACTGTTCCACACCACTAGGGGGAGCCAAACACTCAGTAAAGTCGGACCAGACCTTCAGTAATCTCATCACTATGGTGGGCAGATGAGAGCTGGAGAGATAATCTAGAGCTACATTATTCTTCGCGTCTCAGGGTCTCGAGTCTCATCTGACTTGCTGATTGTCTCCCCCTGGTGGTCTAGTGCACTTAAGCACATAAGGTAGAAGCTTTTTTTTATTACTATTGTTAATATTTTTATTGCTGTTGTTATTGTTTTTGTGTTTTCGGCCATTCTGTTTTTTTTATGACTGCATAATATTTTTCTTGCTTTTAGTTTTGTCTTTTAAGCGTGTTTTGCCGTTTCCAGCGAACATCCTCGTTTGTGCCTATCGGCCACCGTAGCTTCTTGAGGCAAAGAAAATAAAACTTTTGCTGTCATTTCCTTTTGTTTTTATGTATCCTGTATTATTATGCAAGTAACACTTGTATTTATGTCTTTGTAATGAATTAAATAAAGTTAAAAGACTAAAAAATAAAACAGTGAAACTTAACTATTTAAAATAGAGTCAGTGCTGAAATGAGTAAATGTTTTTTTTCTGTTAATCACACTTATTTTGTTTTAAAATGTGTATGTGGATTAATTTCAATATTAGGTTATAAACAAAAGAGAAGATTTTCCTCTCACTAAATATATGATTACCTTTTTGTTTGCGACACATTCCATGTACAAGCTTCAAAAAAGATTCCAACTGTTTTATGATTTGTCATTTTTCTATTACAAAAAAAAGAAATAAGAAACAAAATGCATTCAGTTTTAAGACATTAATTATTTATTCACCAAGACAAAACAAAAGTGCTGCCTTAGCATTTATATTAGTTTCCATAAAGCATCTGATTTGAAACACCAGATTTAAGAGCATGCAGAAACGAACAGTAGGAATATGTTGTTGGTCACCAACTGAACAGGCTGCAAACACTGCTAATACAATGATAAGATTGTTAGAAGAAAACAGCTGTGATGACTCCAATATATTCAAGGGCTGGATGTTTTTTTGTTTTTACTTAAATAAAGCTAATATGGTGTTAAAAGTTTATCCTGATTACAAAAATAATATTAAAGATTATTAACAAACTAAAGCTGCTGTATCTGTATGAAAAGGAGCTGCAATGTTACCTTCTATGCTGTTAAAGTACATTCTTCCTTCACTCTTTCTGTGTCATGAATAGAGAGATGGATTCTCAGCGCAGAACATGAAGAAGGCAGGAACTTCAGCACATCCAACACATGATCTCCACCAAATGTTACAAGCTTTGGAGAAAATATTCACTTTATATTCTGTTGGTGGACTGATGGACATCTATGCTCCTGTGTATCACCAGGGATCTACAGTATTGTCATTCTTTTGTGGGATATTTTTGTTTAATAGTTTAGTCTCCAGCTTCTCCTCTCTTTAAAGTCTCAGTAAAGTGCCTTCCACCCCATCCTCGTCTCTTTTTTTCCACCTATGCCGGGGATTTTTGACTCAAAGAAATGGGTGTAGAGATTGTTTTCGCGCCATATGCTTGCTCTTCCTCAGAAGCAAACGGAGTGTGTCTGCAATGAAATTATTCAGTTGTTATATAATTGCTTCCTGGATTTGAGTGAGGTCTGCTGCTAGAGCTTGAAATAAAAGAATACCAGAATAAATCATGAGTGCTCCTCGGCGCTGCCGCTGAAGGAACGGCTCCTGATGTGGTTCCTTAGCTGCTCGATGAGCTCCGGGTTCTGCTGCTGAATTTGTTGGGCAAACTGTTGGCCTCTGATGAGAAGCAAAGAGAAAGGAAGTCAGTGTCTGCTGCTCTTTAACCTCCAAAAAACTTTGTGAGTTTAAAATGTAAAAATTAATTAGAAGCTCTATTTGGTTAAAATAAATGTCTAAAGATTAAAAATTTTAAGTTCAGGCCACAACATAGTTTGAAAAGGAAAAAAGAAGGACATGTTTATCCTTCTACTGAAAGTGTAACACCTCTTATTAGAGCAATGGGTGGGTACAGAATAAGAAATTTAATAAAAACTGCTTAACCCTAAAAGTAATAACTACAATCTCTGCACTACCAGCAGATGGGTTTTTCATTGTGGAAGTATTGGATCCAGTTCTTTTTTATTTTTTTATTTAGGCCAAATATGAGGGTTTCTAACACTGGCGTTCACAGACATTTTATGGGACAGGTGCTCAGGACGGAAAAATGGCACCTTATACCGCCTGATGCTGAGGTTTAACAGTCCATAGGTAGCCATGTCACATTGGTGTCTTGATTTGAGTGGGTATATATGATGATGTGCAGATGAACTGAGATTTACATTTAAAATAAGAAAAAAAAACAAATCTATTGTCTTATTTCACCTGCATAACATATAATAATCTTATTTTAAGATTAAAAACTTGTTCCACTGAGAGATCATCTTATATTCCTGTTCAGATTGGGGACAAATAATTATTTTTTTAGAATATTGTATATATTTTTAGGTCAATTTTTGCAGTCCCAGATGTCTGTCAATAAACACATAAATTGAAAATGCAAATTAATCTACACACCCCACGTCAATTGAATAGAAGCTATTTTTACGAATTGTCATCCTTTTGCCTAGTTTGCTTTTAAATGAAATGTTTAACAGACAAAAGGTAACTTGAGTGCTGCAGTTGCTATAAAAAAAAAAAAAGATGTGAATCAAATAGATGTCATCAGCAAGTCCCTGACAGGAACCTTTACAGCAAATCAAAAATGACATCTATGAGAAGATTTAAATATATATATATTTTTTCTAATTTATCAAATTGTTTAATTTTAAACCTTTCCTTGGCAACTGGTAGAGGCCTTTAAAGACATTATACTATGAACTAACTGGTTGGTGAAGGAGGTAAATATGCTTGTTTAGTTACCCTTCACCAGAATAAGGCTCTATTAAGGTGGTGCTACATGCCTGGTCGAGCCAAATTACAAAAATCAGGACTCTGGGTTTGAAAGGCTTTTAAAGTCATATGTGTTATTTTGGGTAAAATACTAAAAAATATTATGTCAGAAGGGCACTTTTTCTGTCCAGAGGAGAAAAGGGCAGGTGCTTCAGCACCACCTAGTGTTTATCTGTGCACGCCACTGGTTTCTAATCATTAACGACATGAGAAAGGCTGTACAATGCATCCAGACTTTAACTAGACCAATCCAACACCTTCATTTTTTGTTTAATTTAAGCTACTGGGAGATGCTGGGGTGCTTTAACACAGGCATCCCCAACCTCGGTCCTCGAGGCCCCCTGTCCTGCAGGTTTTAGAGGTTTCCCTGCTTTAGCACAGCTGGTTATAATGATTGCAGTAGAACAAAAGCCTGTTAACCAGCTTTCAATTAAAATCAGCTGTGCTGGAGCAAGGAAACCTCTAAAACCTGCAGGAAAGCAGCCCTCGAGGACCGAAGTTGGGGATGCCTGCTTTAACGTATCCTGCTGTTTCAGGTGAGTGTGCTGCAGGTTTTCTGGCAGAGAGCAGAATTAATGGCTCTAATTATAGCGAACCTGCAGCTGCTGTACAAAAACAAACTACCACCAGACTTACTGTCTGTGTGAAAACTTTTTTTTAAATAACTGCCTAATTAGAGCCACAATGTTCCAATTTAGTCTACAAACCATGTAGCCTACATTTTTAAGTGAATTTAATATACATTTTGAAGTAACTTTGCTTTTTTTTCATCTGTTCTCGAGCTTCTTTATATTTCTTCAGCTTTTCTGGATCTATTAGCTTGCAGCATGTTGTCAGACAGGTTCTATTTAAGTAATTTCTTGATTCAACAGTCCAGCTAGCAACGGTTGTAATGAACGAAATTAATGAAGCAGAACCAAAAGACAAAGTTAAGGATAATTTAATTAGGATTTAAAGCTACAGTGTGTAATTTTCAGCGACATCTAACGTCCAGACTGCAGACCGCAGCAACATGAACATCTCCCCCCAACAGTACGGCGAGCGTTACGGGACAAAATGTCTTCCACAACGTCCGCATCACCTACCTTCTCAAGTGATGAGGTTTGTTTACATAGATAATTTTACAGATAGTATTTCATTAGTCTGTGTAGGGTATAGATTTCAGTACCGTCTCAGTTCATCTCTCTCAACTTGCCGTAGTTACTTTCGAGCGTAATGGGCGATCTCGCAATCGCTAGTTTGTTGGCTCTGCGCTGCCGTAGCAAAGATGTCTGCCTCCATGGCGGCGAGACCCGCTCCTATGTAATTATAAAAAATGAATTCTAAGGCAACGCAAATATTAAGGTTAAGAGGCTGAGCTCGTAGATGATGATAAATAACATAGTTATGTATAATATATTACATTTCTGACTGTATATCCCTGTAATTATTACACACTGTAGCTTTAACAAAAGGGAGCAATTATATTTTACCATAGGGTCAGGATTTGGATTGCTATCTTTTTTAACTGTCATGAATCATAATTGATATTAGAAGATCAAAATCTATATTTATTCTTATCTTTAATTGATATTAAGAAAATGTGATAATATAAAGCATTTATCTCCAGCTAAAAGAGCATTTGTTACATTAAATACCTGATGATGCCTTCAAAAGCAAACCCCCGTGACTGCTGTCACATCATACTTGTGATATTAAAATACATAAAAGAGAGCTTTGCATTATGCATCACAGCCAATTTGTTATTTTATACAAAATAGTTATTGCTCAGTTGTTTTCCTGCCAGGAAATGAATACCAGCAGCAGCAGCTGGATTTAATTCTGCTCCTAAAGCCTCATAAATTAATGAAACACAGATGTCTAAAAAAAACACAACATTTACAAATCATCTGTCTTGCATTCTTCTACTTACGCCTCAATCAAGCTGGAAATGTCTGACAGTCCTCCCACCCCTGCTGCAGGACCTCTCACTGCATTCGACATCATCCCTGACATGCTGAGCACACAGAGACAGTGAGTTGGTGTGTACTGAAACTCGCTTAGAGCTGATTCCAAACATTATTCAATCCGGGCTGCACTCACAGCTGTTGGACTTGTTGGTTCTGCATCACGCTGGCAGCCTGTAAACAGATATCAAGCTGAAATCAATCGTGTCTCACACACGCTGTGAAAAAAAAACAATTTACTGCTGATCGCACTAGCGGTTTTATGACAAAACATGGCCCATAATTCCTTGCTGAGGAGGGGGCTGGGTGCAGCTATGCTATTGGACTCAGATGGGTCTTGTCATAACTGCAGTAAAATTCTGGCAGGTTTGCAGAAGCGTTCTTGGCCTGGTTGACACATCCATTTCTCATAGTTTTATATCTTAGGGTGTTTTAACAAGACAATAACCGGAGTTGGACAATACACACAATACAGTTATTAGGAGTCTCACCATGCTGATGAAGGCAGGATTGTTGATTAAACTAGCCATGTCAAACCCCAATCCAGCAGCAATCTGTTCCAGAGAACAGGTGATAAACAAAGAGATCTTTCAATTAACAGCAAACAAGTTAGCAGTCAGAAACTCAAATAAAAGATCTTCATTTTAACTCACTGGGCTGGAGGCTTCTTTATGCTTCTGTTCTGCAATCTTCAGGTTGGATTTATAAGTGTCGTTGTCCGGATCCAGAACCAGGGCTTTTTTGAAGTATCTAATCGCCTCTGGATACTTGTTCATAGAGGTTAAAGCCAAACTGCAGCCAGAAAAACCAATGTAAACAAATTAGAGATTTGTTCAAAATGCGAGGACCTTGAAAACAATTAAAATCTCTGCTGTAGATGTGTAAAAGGCCTTAAAAGGTCGGGAATGTTAGTGGACTGTGCAAAAAGTTGCAATCTCCAGGGAACTTGTCCAGAACTTTAAAGACACCGTCCCAAAATGTAAGACTTTCCAGAAGTCACCAGGTACATTACTGGAACTGGAAGTCATTGAATACCTTCCTGAGAATTATTGGGTTCTATTTCTTTAAAGATGATGTCTGTAACTTCAGCGTCACCAAGGCTGTTCATACAAATGTCCTTCCTGACCCAGCCTTTGGAGAGCTGTGGGCAGAGAGGAATAAATGCTGGCGCACAGTTCCAGGCTGTAAAGGGGCTCATAAAATGGCTTAATGTGTTTCACTAATCTCTTCTTTTCTCTGTGTGCAGAGTTCATGTTCTCCAACCATCTAGAAGGTTACAAGAACGTACCAGTAATCCCTCCACTAAGGTTTTGGGAAAATAGTAATAGGTCTACATAAGTTCCTGTATAGAAGGCTCTAGGATCCCTGACATAATAGACAAGAGCTACATGACTGATTTTAATAGAATATGTTAAATATATAAGTTGTAGTATCCACAAAAAAAAAAACTATCTGAACCTTTTATGTTCTACTTTATATTTTTAAAATGCTCATGATGTCTCTGACGTTTTGAACAGAAAATAGGAAGCAACACTAAGCCATCTTTGAAAGGGGGACAAAAAAAAACATATAACTCGAATAAGAAAAAGATGCACTGATCTGCACAAATAAGAAACTGGTCATAAAAAATAATGGTCTAAACTTTTGTATCTCAACATAAAGAAAAAACATTTTTGAAACAAGTGGAACTGTGACCAACAACCCTGGAGAAGGACCTAAGCTCTATATTTCCCACCACATCTAAGAGAGCATAGAAAAAAGAACACTGCTGAGGGAACTACAGGATATTAAGGTCACCAAGTCTGCAGAATAACTATTTTAATAATCTATTTTACCAATCTTTACCAGGGATGCCTACCTGCACAGGTTGGCATAAGGAATCAACTCACCCCATCCTCCCATAAGCTTTGCTGTAGGTAGGATCTATCCCAATCGCTCTCTCACAGTCACCAGTAGCTTCAGTGTAATTGCCCAGTTTGCTATGAGCCGCGGCTCTGCAAACCAAAAAACAATGGTTATAATGATTATAACTGTTAAAGCTTGCAGATGTTTATAGAAAAAAGCAGGGAGCACAAACTATGATGCTAGCATACTAACACGCCTTTTTTTTGTTTTGTACCTGTTGCAATAGTATACAGCATTTCTCAGGTCCAGATCTATGGCCTTTGTGTAGCATTCAACGGCACATCTGTAGTTCTCCTCCTTCATGTGATTGTTCCCTAAATGAATAATAAAAAAAAACAAGATTTCAACCTCTGCAACCTTTTTTTTTTTTTTTTTTATGTTAGTGACCAAAAGAAGCCTGGTTTTGAAGTGAGTCTCATTTTGAAAATGATAGATAAAAATCTGAAAAGTGTGCTGGAGAGCCAAAAGCATATAACGAAATAAATGACATAAATATGAATGTGCACCATGGAATAAATAAATGTACCATATAATATTCATTTATTTACACAATATAGGATTCAAATATCATATATAACATTGTAATAAATTGTAAAATGCATATTTAAAGAATTCATTTTCAATAAAAAAATGTATAGAAAAATAATTTAATGAAAAATAATTTAGAAATGAATATAACTTCACATTATATGTGTAAATAATAAAGCATGTACTTTTTCTATATATATCTATACAGTTATCTATACAGTCTGTTGTGTTGTTTGTTTTTGAGGTCACAGGCTGACATTCAGAATAACCTCTGGTTTAGAGGTCCCTTTGTTTACCTTTATTGATCGTTCACAGCCTTTATTCAAATTAATTCTTTTGAACGTTTCAAACATAGCCGTATTCAAAGATTATACAATGATAAAAATGTCCAACATCTCCAAACAGTTTCATGTTTTTGACCTGATTGTGTAGAAATGTATGTTTTAAAGCCCTGATATGTTCATAAACACCAAACTATTATCTCCCTGCCTGATCTTTCATTATCTTAGAATGATCTTAGGAGTCTTACTCTCAGAGAGGAAATCCCTCAGAGCAACTTTGTACTAATTGTCAGTAAATATTCTCTGCTAAAAGAAACAGTGGACCAAATCTATGCCGTTGAAATTTCACTCTAATCGGGTCAGAACCACCAGACCTCTTTACTAGGGGCGCCTGGCAGTGCAGGGTGGGACATAAAGAGAATGAACAAACTGAGAAAGGCCACTTCTGTCCTGGGCTGCAATCTGGATTACATCCATCAATGACAACACCTCTAACCCTCTGCACCAGACTGTAGAGGAGCTGAGCAGCTCCTTTAGTGAAAGACAACCTGTCTGTAAAAAGGAGCGCTACGGCAGTTCATTCATCCCTGCTGCCATCAGACTTTACAATGCAGCACTTCACCTGCAATAAGTTGTGCAATGTATAATGTGCAATTACTATTTAATAACCTGTGCAATAACTATATATATAAATACCCATTTAATACCTTGTGTAACAACCCTGTGCAATAATCCCATTAAATAATATATATATATATATATATATATATATATATATATATATATCTACATACACCTTGGCACCTTATTTTTACTATTGAGCCGATGTGACAAGTGAATTTTTCCAGTGTGAGATCAATTATCTTATCTTATTCTTATTTTATCTTACTAATTGTCTTCTCTCGTCCTTTAATTAAACCATTGCTTTCAAGCTGCACTGTCACCTAAAAGCTCTCGCATATTGTTTCACCATTATTTTTATTCCAAATGCTCAATTTTTATGGGAAGATAGAAGGAGCTAAATGTAGGAAAATACTGGAAGAAAATCTGTTAAAGACTGAAACAATAAGGCCTGTTATAAAGGCCTAGTCAAAGCCAAGACTTCTCAGCTGAAAGATCTTGAAAATATTCAGAACTCTCCATCTAGTCTAACTGTCCTTTCTTTATTATACAGAGAAAAACAAAAAAAAAGTCTCTAAATGAAAAGCTGATAAAGACATATCCCATAAAGGATTTGCGCCTTAATATGATGTATTTTTGGATCTACTTTGGATATTTGGATCTACTTTGCTAAATGTGTCCATTTCATTAATCCTCAAAAAACACGTCGAGATTCGTGGTTTCCTTTCAGTAAATTCTACCAAAGTCTATTCATCTGCTGGTATTACCTTCATTTTTAAGTTGCTCTGCCCGTTCAATGTCTTCAGGAGACGGGGAGCTCTCTGGTACTGTGAGGTTGTCGTTCTGCGTGAAACAGAAAAGATGATGGAATCTAAATGAACACATTTAACTTTTAGTTGTTGTTTTGGTTCTGTTTTGCTTTTGTTGAGGCAAAAAGTCATTTTACTTTGCTCCTGGGCCAGCAAGTAATTTTTTCCCTACTACCCACCTTGAGGAGGGCGTTGAGGAATATCTCTCTGAGCGGCTGGGACACAGCAAGGTGGCAGTCGCTGGAGCTGATCTTGAAGGTGGTCTCCAAGCACTGGATTGCAACTGAAGTATATGGCACAGAATACAATTAAAGGTCACAGCTTAAGAGGGGTAACTGTTCAAATTAGGCTTAACGACAGTCAGGGAAGGGAAATCTGAAGGAATTATTCCCTAGAATGAACAAAGCATCCATCACCTTTGCATACCAAGTTTAATTTTTGTGTCTTTGCCCAACAAAAAGTAATATTCCTAGAATATTTTCTAATTTTTCACATCACATCCAGAATTTTTTTTCTGTTTTCTTTGTTGTTGCTTTTTCACAGGACAATGACATGATGATGGAACATTGTTTTAATAATAGAAAAACAAACAAATGCATTGTTCTCAAAAACATTTGAATTGGTCCCCTAATATAAAACCCAGTGCAACTGAAAAATGCAAAAAAAAACACAGCATCATTCTCACAAGCAAACACGGTAGTGGCAGAATCAAGCCTGCTTATTTTTTTTTTTTTTTTTTTTTTGCTGTTGAGTATGAAGCTGGTGATGGCTGAAATGTAGACTTTTTGGTTAAATCAATCAAGAATCTGGTAAAAACTACAGACTCTTCAGTTAATACAAAGGAGCTAGGAAAATGTTTTTCTTTTCTGGTTTTGTTGGGTTTATTTTTGAAGTTTTTCCCAAAAGACTAGCTCCTGTAAATGCAGGCAAATGTGGTACTGAACTATTCAAGATATTCAGAAGAAAAAGCTACAAAAGGCCACTTTATGTATGATTTTCACTAATAGTAATCCCTTGAAGTTGATGGTTTTAATGTAACAAAACAACAGACTATAGTCTAAGATGAACTGAACAGATTCGGTGAAGCGACTTACCCTCAAGGCTCTCCTGCTCGTCTGAATTCAAAGCACTGACGTGAGTTTGATCTCGTAAGAACTGCACAATAGCGAACGCAAGACGCTTCTCCACTGCCATTTTGATCTAGAAACTTGAGCAAGAGATGTGGGATTAAAAATTAGGCCATTAGAATACCATCAAAAAATGGGAAATACATACGCTTAAGATCAGTTTTCAAACATGATGAGGTCATGTAAATATATTCTTGTGCCGATGGAGATATTTGTGATCAAACTACATTAAAAAAGGCTCATTATTATTCCAAATTACTTACAAACATGTAATGTGGACAGTTGATGGGCTATACTGACATTTTTATTCACTGAGGGAAAAGAAACACTCATAGAAACAGAACTGGAACATATGTATTGAATGTAAACACTCCAGCTGTCCACAATAATCATTAATATTACTAGAATTAAGACTCGAAATGAATGAAACTTGTCTTCACATGGAAACTACATGTGAAACAAGTTGGCCTGAGTTTCAGAAATGTGGGAACGACAAAATATAGAACTTATTCCACAATATTCCCATTTACTAGAGCATGTTAGGATAATTATCATTGAAGATGTGTGAATTTAATACACCTTGGTATTGGCTGCCAGTTGCGAGTAAGAACTGATGTTTTAATCTAATTAGGACACTTCCTCTGTCTGGATATACAGTTATAATCTATAAGACAGAAAATGAAGTATAATATTTTGATAAGGCTGGAGCCATGGATGTCTACTCATCTGCTAATGTGTAAGATGTAAAATATGATGATGTGGCAGACTGGAGATGTATAAAATGCCTCTTTAACTGTTAATCTGAGAGGTGAACCTGGAGGTGAGCAGCTGGCTTCTGTACATTCTAAGCAATTTCTCTGATCTATCAGAATCTGTTGTCATGTCTCCTGGTTATTTAATACATATAAGTTATAAAGTGTTATTTAAAGAGTTTGTCCTGAGTGATCTCTTTTCAGGGAAAATAACCGGAGAAATAGAGCTTCAAGGTGCATACACAGAGCCCATCTTTAACAAATGGTGTTTCAAGCTACTGAAATCAGAAACACAGACAAAAAAACACGTATGTGTTCCATCCTATGATGAGGAGGCACCAACATACAGAGGGCTGCTGACTCCCTACTATTGTTCATCATTAGCAATCTAATAAGCAAAGATATCAGATCCTTTGTCCAAGACAGCTTATTGCATAATTCAGAGATATTTATTCTTGCATGTTGGCTGCAGATGTCTGAACTGATCATTGGTGCTGAAGCTGCATCACAGAGACCCAGGACTGGTCAGTGTTGGGCTGCAGGCTGCAAGCAGTGGACATAGAAAAAAAAAATAGCTTCATGTCTCCATCACGTGCTGATGCCAGGCGCTGATCTGTTCATTCTGCTCTGGCTGCCACAGCCACTCCTCCTTCACTGTGTGTTGACACACGTAAGCTACATGTAGTGATGCTGTGAGCAGAGCTGTTTTGATTCATCATGCACACTTTATGCTTATAAAAACCACACATTTAACAGCTTGGTCAGATTGTGACGCGCAGGCGGGCGTTGGCTGCTTTAAAAATCCTTATCTGACAACAATGCCCTGCAGCCTGAGTGATGCTGCGCACTAGATCTCTGATAAAGACAGAAAACATCCCAGCCAAACAACAGCTATTGAAACAGTTTATTCATTAAACGTTAAAGGGTAATAATAGTTGCCCCCCCTCCTCCTCCTCTCGCCTACTTACCTGAGCTCCTCAGCTGTCTGCGTCATGAGGACAGAAAGAGCGTCTGTCCTCTGCGCGCATGCGCTCTCTGGCGGAGGAAATGAGAGGCTCCACTCAGTGCGAGGAGGGGAGCGACAGGAGAGCAGCTACTGGGACTGCTGGGATTGTAGTTGTGACAGTAAGACTGGAAAAAGCTGTTTTCTGCTCTGATCAAGACGCATGAGAATCCAGCATGTGTGCGTTAAGGGTCTCTGTGTGCGTAAAGCTTTGGAGGTATGAGTCTGGGTATTCATTCACATAACAGGATGGTGTTTGGTCACATGTGGCTGGTAAAAATGAGAAAAAAAAAGTTAAGTCTGCTTGTGAGCGTTTAGCTGCTATTAGAGAAAGAAAATTCAGAGTTATTTAACTCTTTTAATATCAGAGGATCCCAGTGTTGTGCCATGAAACTTTACACTGACAGCTGGACATGGGAAAGATTTCCTAACTAGCATGAAAAGAATGCAGAGCAGTCTGACACTGGAATCACTGCTGGGGGGGAGTCAGCAAATACTCCAGTGAAACCTCATGCACCATCTTGTATAAAAGAACATATTCCTTTATGTTCTTCTTGCTTTTAATTTGCAGTGAAATATTAAAAACAAAAAAAGAAAGGGAGTAATAAGCTCTTTTGTCAAATTTCATTCTGCTTTCTGTGAATTTAGGAAGTTTTTCTCCTGGATCCTCTTGAATTTCAGGTTTTCCCCCTTTTTTCACATGTCAGACTGCAAGTTATTTGTTCACCCTTTACTGAAAGGCAAGATATGCAGCTGTGGTGACTAATAATTTTTATTATTATCTGAATGCACAGCTAATGAATTCCACTACCTGAGTTGTGGATCTCTGCAGCTCATCCAGAGTACCCCTGGACCTGCTTTAACCCCATTAGTTCCATGATCCTTGTAGGTTTGCAAGCTTGAGGTTCTGTTTTCAGTGGTGGTTTAGAAGCAAATTTACCGGGGGTCTGAATTGTGTAATGATGCATTCACACCCTGATTTTCATTTCTGGAGCCATTTGCAGCCGTGCAGATAAAGCAATGATCCTATTTTAATATCACTGAAGCTAAAAGTGCAACACCCTAATTCATTTTAAAAATAAAACTGTAAAGTAAAAGTGTCCAAATGACCAATCAGTTACAGTCGCTGTTTTTTTTCTCACACAATGTTTACATTTTATCACTGCTGCAGTTTAAGTAATGGGAATGTTTGTACAAAATTAAATTTTGTTTTGTATACTCTCTGTGTATACAAAATGACAATAAAGTTTGTCAAATCTAAATGCATATATCATTAGAAACTTATTTACTATTATGTCTTCAGTAAAGGGGCCATAACTGGTTCTAGAGGGGCCCTGGCCCCTTTTGGCCCCTTCCTAGAACCATCCATTGTGTTGTATGAACTAACTTTGCTCTAAACAAACCTTAAAATGTTGCCCTCGCCCATCTGCATGTTCCCTGATCTTTATTGTTTGTTCACTTGTAAAATTATCTAAGAAAAAAAAGAACTAGGCTAATATCCGATTGATTGTTGCCACAATTTAACATCAGAACACCTCTGGACTATTCCCAAACAATCTGGGTTCCCTCATTCTGCTCCAAAAGATTGATACATCTCTAATTAACGTGAATTTTTGGAGGGAATGTGTGGTTTGAAAGGATGGTTTAAGAAAAATTGTATTCTTTTAAGAAGTGTTGCGCCGATGCCATTTTTTGGCCCCGATACCTGGCTGTGCAGTATTGGCCGATACCGATACATCTGTTTGGAAAAAAGAAGGAGACTAATACAAAGTGAATACAGTAGAAATTTTAATACTGGTATCAGTATCGGTGCAACACTACTTAAGACATCTTGAGTTGGCAAAAATTTTATACAATGAAGTATTTAAGAGCTGACTGCTGTATAATTAAACAAAAATTATGAAAGGTTTGATTAAATCCTGAGGCTTTAATCAAAAGAAGTTATTAAGAAGACAATTATTTCAACCCACTTGCTTCGTTTACGTTCCATGTCAGGTTTCTTAGTTTTTGATTCTGACTGTAATCCTTCAAAGATACTTCAACGGACCTGGTCCAGCCTCTACATTGAAAACAGACCATAGTAAGGAGTACAATCTGCAGTAAAATCAGACTAAGATATTTCTAAAATATAATCAGCCACTGGATCCGCCCATAAAAAGTGGGTCAAGCATTCTGGCTTGGAGCATGCTCCCAGTTTACCTCACCAACTTGTCATGACTATAGTGAAGAATCACTTGGGAAACCATATCATGTTCCTTCCACTTCTGTGTCAACCACTGCACTTTATTTTTGTACGGCCGTACTCCGGTGGCACATTTGCCTTTGGTGTTGAACGACTTCCACTTGCTGTTATATCCCATTTTGATCGTCTTCCTTTCACAGCTGGAAGGGATAATCATGATTTTTTACAGACATGTCTGATGCAATTTGAATCCCTGGTTTTACTTTTAGGGTGCCAGATAAAACCAGATATACAGACGTTACTTTAATTGTATAACTGTTTAATTTAGTGGTTCTCCAAATAGGGAAATGCTTTGAGGAGTTGCTGTGTAATTGCAGGTGTGGTGGGCTTGAAACTGAGCAAATGACACATTTTGAGAGGCTTTTTTTAAATGCAATGACAATAATGTTGAATTCTTTTACACAGTAAAAGAAATTGTTGAACTTAATAAAACAAACACTTTAAATGTGTTAGTTTTGTTATTTAAAGGAAGATGTATTTATTTTATTGGAATGATCATTTTACTGCAGACTTTTTATTGTTCATTGATTGAAAAGTTTGGTGAAGGGGAGGAAAAACTGTCCTGTAAACCAAAGGGGAGCTCAGCAAGACAAGCTTGCAATGCTGTGTAAGTTCTGGCCACTAGGGGCGCTAGTCCTGTAACTTCCAGGTTTAGAAACTGCCAGCCCTGCACTGTAGCAAATATAAGCAGTCTTCTTCAGTGTTTTGGAATCTGACAGCAGACCACTTTAGACCAGGGGCCTGTTTCAGAAAGGAGGTTAAGTGAAAACTCTGAGTTTGTTAACCCTGAAATGAGGGAAACTCTAGGTTTTCTGTTTCAGAAAGGGAGGTAAGTTAAACCTGAGAAAGCAGAGTAAGTCAAGCCCGTTTCTGAAAGAGAGGTAACTTATACTCAGAGTCAGTTACCATGGCAATTTACTCTGTGAACCTAACCTGGTCGAGAGCAGGTTTTCTTCAGAAAATCCAGAGTTTATTTTGGTCTCCTCCCCTTTTTTAAAGAGGAAGTGGTGTTTAAACACCTCATTGATTCTTTGGGGACATATTCATTGTACACATTTCAGTCACGTAGAGCGCATCAAAGGAAATGAAATGGCATGTCCTTTTATGGATGATCCTGTTTGTAAAGCCAGGTAGCTACTCTACTCCCATGATATGCTCAAGGCTTACCTGCTTGAAGTATGTTTTTATATTTCATTTTCAGCTGCTGCCGTGTTCTTTTGATGCCTGCAGGATTGCACCTATCCATGAAAACTAAATTAGGTTTAATAAAATACTGTTCTTCCAGTTTCACCTCTGATATTATAACAGTTGGGTAAGTTACTCTAAAATAGTTCTTAATTACTAACTACAAATTTTATCTTCAACAAGTCTAATTAGATTAATGTAATAATTACTGTCTCTAGAAAGTATTAGTCTACTTACTAATTTGTTTTACTTACTTATTAATTACTTTCTAAATCCCAAATCAACCTCAACCACTTGAACAATACAAGGAGAGACAAGAAACTGCACTTCTAATGCTTTCAAATAAACAATATTCAATTGCATGAATTAATCTTAAATTGACCAAAGTGTGTAACTAGAGGGAGAAAGTTCAAATCAAAATATTCCTTTTAAAATTTGATATTAAATCCACTATTGTTTTATAGTCTTTAATTTAATTAAAGTATTTATATGACTTAAGTAACTTAATTCATTACACCCAACACTGTATAAAAGTAATTAAAATGTAAACTTACGCATTGACTCTAGCAGCTATTTTCACCCAAGCTAACTCTCTCTCCTTCGCCGCTGCAGCCGTGTTGCTTTTTTTTTAAATACATGTTCAAATTCTGCATATACTTGCATAAGCACATCCAGTTCTGCTGGTGAGAAATATGCACACCTTTTTTTGTCTGACGCTGTTGCCATTGTGACTCGTAATATCTGTGCTCCATTGATAATGGCTTTTTTATAGTTGTGGTGCACGCGCTTAACTCAGAGTCAGTCAATTTAGAGTTGATTGAACTAACTCATTTCAGCTGTTCTGAAACCCAAAACTCAGAGTTTCCAATCTCAGGATAAGTCAACTCAGAGTTCAAGTTTTAACTCAGAGTTGGTTGAACTTCCTTATTGAAACAGGCCCCAGCACATTAACAAACCAGAGAGTTTAAAAATATACTATTTTTTTTTCTTACAAAATCAGGTTAATATTTTTTATTTCTCCCGTTAGTTTCATTATAAAAACATTACCTTAAAAAATCAGCTTTTATTTCAGTGAACTCCTTTGAGTGGATACCTCAGTCTAAGGTGCAACAAAGCTCCTTATAAAACAGTGTTTCACAACAAACAATGAAAATATAAGAAACTACATTTTTGCAGTTAGTGTCACTCAGTTAGCTAGTCTGTCAGTTAGAGGTATAAATCTGAAAAAGACAAGGTGATGAACTGACGTCAACCTGAGGTATGGGGGTATGGGGGAAAAAAATAATAGATTTCTACAAAAATTAGATTTTCATAAATGGAAAATTTGATGGATTTAGTTTTTTGGTTAAGTGCAAATTCGTAAGAGTTTCTTGAAAAGACGAGGCCACATTCACCCTTTTAGATTAATTCCCACATCAGAAAAAGCCAACATGTATCTTATCAGATGAGGGCTGTGTCTTTTTTTGCCTAACAGAAACTTTTAAGGGTAATGGTGTGTTTCGTTTATCCTCAGAAGTCAAATATTCCATTTTCTTAAAGGTATAGTGCAGGATTTTAGTGAATTTTTGAAAAGACCCGCCCTCTCCACTTTAAAAAAAAAATGCATATGCATGTGAGAGCATGCACAAGCCAATTTCATCTCTTTGCACGCTATGTTTAAAAGTTGCTGTTTGCATCGCTCATACAA